CATATTGCTTTCCACAATGGTTGAACTAGCTTACATTCCCACCAGCAGTGTAGGAGGGTTCCCCTTTCTCCACATCCTCGTCAGCGTTTGTTGTTCCTTGTCTTTTTGATGCTGGTCATCCTTAGTGGTGTGAGGTGATATCTCAATGTGGTTTTAATTTGCATTTCCCTCATGATTAGTGATGTGGAGCATCTTTTCATGTGACTGTTGGCCATCTGAAAGAGACAATAAATTTTTAATCAACTATTGCCGTAGTTCAAGTGTGAAGAATCGAGGGCTTGAACTGGGATAGTAACAGTAGGAGTAAAGGAACTTACCTTTTAAGAAGTTCATTCTGCAGGCTAATTATGTATAAATTATAAGAAATGATGCAAAGAAGGAATTCCAGATTTAGCCAAGCATGTGAGTGGATACTAGATTTATTGGGAAATGGAAATCTTAGTCATCCATGGGCATGTTGTATTTATAGGGATGATCATGCATTTGAGTGGAAGTATTCCCTGGTAAGTAGAAAAAGGGACTTGGGGAAAGGTTGGACTAGAAATTTGGATTTGGATATCATCTGCATAGAGGTGGCAGGATTACTTAGGTGAGTAAAAGAGAACAAAGAATATTGGGACTGGAAGGAAAAGATAAAATAACTGAAAAAAGAAACAAATGGTCAGAGGTATTAAAAACTCTAAGAAGGTATAGAATCATTGGACCTAACAGAAAGCAGGACTATGAAAAGAATATTTGGTTTGTTAAGTGGTCACTGGAGACCCTTGGAAGTTGGAAAAAAAAAAGGCATTGGTGACCAAGTCAGATTTCAGAGGCACAAGCGGAAGTGATAGATTGGATACAGATAAATAGGACAGTAACAAAAAGGAGTAAGAATGTCAAGAAAACTTTTTTTTTCAAATGAAACCTTATTTATGATTGACAATAATATATGGAAGGTATTGATAGAGAGGCAGATTTAAGATGATGCATCAGAGGGCAAGAATATATTGCCTCCTGTGAAGTTTCCTTATCTAGTCTCATCTATATCCTTCCATCTTCTATATCAAGGCTGATTATGTCAGTCCCCTCTGAAAGACCTCTCTGGGTTCCTCACTGCTAGTGGAAGTCTAATATCCTTAGCATAGCACCCAAGATGCCTTGCACTCTGGTTCTAACCTCCCTTTCCCATTTCCCTTTTTGCCATTCAAGGCACACAGATTTTGGATTCTTTGCAGGTTGGGTCTCTGTACACGTTGCTCTCTCTGTCTGAAGATCCTTCTTCCCATCTTTCACATGGAAAATTCTAAGTCATCCGTCAACACCTGGCTCAAATGCCATCCCGTTTTTAAATGTTTTCCTGATTCTCCACACCCAGCTCAGGTCTCCCTCTTGGGTACTTCAACTGTAGGTTGTACATTTCATGTTTTTGTCTCAGCGTCCTACACTGTAATTTATCAATTTCCACTGATGTGTTCTCCATTGGATTACATGGTCTCTGAATACAGGGCCTCTCTTTTTGTAATGTTGTAATCCCCATCACTATCACAGATTTTCACTAAAAGCATCAGGAATGAGTATTAATGTAAGGAGGTACATCTTGAGGTGTATAGGATGGAAGTAAAGAAGCATTTTTGTGCTGAGTGAAATAAGCCAGACACAGGAATACACAACCTGCATGGTCTCACTAATATGTATGGAACCTAAAAATGTCAAACTCATGGAACCAGAGTGTAGAATGGTGGTTGCCAGGGTCTCGGGTGCGGGGTAAACTGGGAGATGGTTACCAACTGGTGCAAAGCTTTAATTGTAAGGTGAGTAAGTTGTGAGAATCTAATGTCCAGCATGGTAATAGGTAACAATACTGTATTGTGCGTATAAAATGTTCTAAGAGAGTAGATAAATGTTCTTACCACACACATAGAAATGGTAACTGTGAGGTGATGGATGTGTTCATTAACTTGATTGTGGTGGTGATTCATAATGTATACATATGTTAAATCATCACATTGCACTCCTTAAAAAATCATGTTGTGTAAACTAAATATATATGATTTTTATTTGTCAATCATACCTCAAAAGAGTTGGGGGGGGAGCTATGTGAATTTGAACAAGTTAATTTCTCTGAATCTGAGTTTCCTATTGGACAAAGGAGTATAATATTTACCTTACAGTGTGCTTGTGAGGATAAAAGCTACAAAATAAAGACATAATTTAATGACCAGCATTAGTTATCACTAATGTTACAATTGTTTCAGCTCCCACCCTCATGGCCTGGATCTTTTAGTTTCTCTCCTCTGGGATTTGGCTACAACTTTAATCGTTTTCTAAAAAAGATTTGTTTGCTTTTTTTAAGTTTAATTTTGATGTTAAGTGATTTATACTCAAATCCATCTTATACAGCAGTGTTTCATCTCCCTCAATTATGCTATCTGATAAAGAAGACCCATTCTGGCATCAAGTGAATTCCGATAAAAATCTAGAATTAAAATATGGGTTGATTTAATAAGTTCACAATGAAGTTTGAATTGTTTTAAGAGTCTCCAAATAACTTCCCAGAGGAGGCCCTAGCTTGGAGGCTCACTACACTGATCTGAGGACACCCTTCTTGTCTTATCGTCAGAATTGTACTGCTCTAAGCCATTTAGATCAGCTCCTTCCATTTTTTTTAGCAGAATTTTTGTGGTTAATAAAAACATGCACTTACAGCTTTTTTGCATAGATAAAGGGAAGGATTCCACATCAGACTGAGATCAAGAGATAGGCTTTCAGAAGAAAATGATGGATATGTCCTCTAGGAGCCATGGAACGCAGCAATGGCTGTTTGGTCTGTGACTGATTAAATTTAAGGCATTTGTGAACACTTCCACACCCATACCCACACAAATATACAAACAGTGGTCACAACTGCAGCTCCAGACACTGCCTCTCTCCCTAGTCTCATTTCCAAGTGCATCCGTTGTTTTCCATAACATGAAATAAATCCCTCTCTTTTGCCTTGTGGTGAAAAGCTTATATAAATACTGAAACTTCAACTATTCCCCTGAGTTTTCTGTTGGCAAGCCTGCAGCTATGGGTTTGTTTGGATATTGACATGCATTTTATGTGCAGATCTTTCAGGCCACTTGGGTGAGTCCAGTGGTGATAAATTCACTTGTCTTGAAAATTTATCAGACTAACCATTGTTAACACTGTTTATGAAAACTTAAATAATCAACACCCTCATTGAAAAGGCTCCAGGTTCAAAGTATCTCTTCTATTCTTTCAGCATATGTCATTCTTGTGAAATATATCTTTATCTTAGGAAATCTTGTCCAGGAAATGACTTTAACAGTCATTGAAAAGAAAATAAGGATGTGAAGAATCGATCAATGCAAGACATTTAATCTTGCATTGTGCTCTTTCTGAGAAAGAATATTTTGCAGTATTTAGAAGTAAAGTATTTTACTGTGTACTACGTAGGGATAGTTAACATTACTGGGCTGTAATTAAAATGTATAATGAAAACTCTTTATTCATTATAATGGAGAGAAAAGGGAAGGCTTTATATTTAAATAATCGATGTCTAGTTTATAGTAGACACTCTTTACAGGGTTGTAGCAAAGTGGATGTGGGAATAGGATTAATAACATTCCTAGTGACATGTAATACTATCTTCATTAAAATATTTATCATATCCTTATGTAAAAATATTCATAAGATTGAACATAATTGCTCATATAGCAGTCTCTCCTTTAGAGACTACATTAATTTGGACTTATATTTTCCTCTTGTTTAAAAAAAAATCTATTAGATGGCAATTACAGAAGAATCCTCAAAATGTCAGTACTGTTTCTCGGCCTTTTTTTAAACAGTGGAAGAAATGCATTTCTCTAATACTATTTCCCATGGAATCTGCAGATCTGAGAGTAACTCTAGCTGTGTCTAAGAGCTGAACAGAAGTCCATACTAAATATTTCTTGTGTCCGCTAGTCCTTCCATTTTACTGAAGCATTTTATTTGCTGCCAATAGTGTACTTTAGCTAATGTCTTTTAAAAAATCTCTTTTCACCTAGATTATTACTTACGTAAAAATAGTTAGCAATTTTAACAATTAGCAATTTAAAAATTTCTCATATGTTACAAACTAGGAGTGTTGACTTGCCTTTGCAGATCCAAGATTTTGTTTCTATGTTTGTTCACTGTCTTAACAGAGAAGAAATATAAAACAACAAATCTCATTAATGAATTAGGTCCCCTTTCCTTAAAACCTAACAGAGAAAATAAAGGAAATCAAATAAGCTTTTACATCTGTGAAGTCCAGTTTTAAATTATAGTAAAAACAAAAATAGAGGCAGATGACCTGGCTGAATTTGTATGTTGTTGGCTAAACTGATGTATTAGTCTTTGCATGTCTAGATTTGTTCTGATTAGTAAATCACAGTGTGAATAATTAAGTAGCTAATTCTTTGTTTTTAGGTTAATGGTTGTGGTTTTTAGTTCTGATGTTCTTTAAATATAACAGTGGTAAAGCATATAGCTTTCTTTTAAAGCAAACTACATTATTTTTATTTTGAGGAATAATTTAGCATATCAGTGTCTACCATAAACCGTTATACTATGCGTGAGACCTGAAAAAATACTTCGCACAGTGAAATCATGCTAAAAATTGCAATGATACTATTTTTATAATAATATCCATGAAGTGCTTAAGACCACATTTGAAACTCAATTAAAATAATTTTCTACATAGTATCTCCTCTCTGAGGGACTCTCTGTCAAAAAGTATATAGGGACAGAAATAAGAGGAGTTATGTATCTATGGTGGATTTTCAAACAATGGCACCTGGGTGGCTATTTCTACTATTAAGGGCAACTTAAATGTTTCACATAGGCAGCATTCTACCAAAACTAGGAGCAAAGAAATTCTAAGAAACATTTTTTGTCATTATGGGTTGCTTCAGAAGAGAGCCACATGAAAATAAAAGTTTTTTTACATTCTTTAGAATGTAAAAATGATTATTTTCTGGGTCTGTTCCTAGGTTTGAAGAAGAGATGACTAGTAAGTGGTTACACCTCTTTGAAGGAAGTGGAGTTGCATATGGTCCAATCAACAACATGAAGAATGTATTTGCAGAACCCCAGGTTTGTTTTTTGAAGTTTTTAGTACATGCAATTAAAAATGTAAGAAATTGTCCTTCTTTTCTAGCCAGAGTGATTCATATAAATATACATTAGCCATTGGTCTTGAGTGTAACATGATTTTTTTCCTGTTTTGTTAAACTGTGGGTATGAAATATAAGGAATCAGGATTTGGAACTGTCTACGGTCATACTTTCATGTCTACCTGATCTAATGCAACCTCTACAGAAAGTTTCCAAGTTCAGGATATTTTTTTTCCTGAAAAATGGAAATAGAGACAATTGAGAGGTTGGGGTCAGACACTCAGATCATTCTAGAAAGAAACATAACAGCTTCACAGTTACAGTCCATTTCTCCTCATATGGTTATCTTAAAATGAACAAAGCAAGTCACAGTTAATTCTGAAAATGAGAGATTTGCATATACTTTGGTAAATGTGCATTATTTGTGAAGAATGAATTGTATTTGAATAGAGATTTGTGCTGTACATAGCTTACCGGATCCTTCTTGGGGCCCAGTGATAAGGATTGCCTAAAAAAATACTTCTTTTATAACATGGTTCAAATGATTATTTTTTGATGATGACAATAATAAGTATTGATTTTATCACTTTAATCAATATTACTGCAAGCAATTTACCATTTTTATGTATTTATCCCAAAAGGTTGAAGAACTCCACTTTTCAATGGCTTTTTCAGTTTCCAACATTTCTAAGTTACATGTTTAAAAAAAATTTCTTTTCACTTATATAAGAGGCAGATTTTTCTTTAAAATTAATTATTGAAAATGGAATACATTTTTTAAGGAGAAGAACCAGTTGAAAACTGACCTAACTCTTTAACTTTGGTATTCTTATCTTGCATGAATATCTGTTTAAAGGAAAATCGATGTGTGTTTAGTTCAGATTTTAAAAAAATGTGTGTAAAATTATTTTTAAAAACATACTTTAAGATGGCATCTAAAAAAAAAGACTACCTTTGAAAGTTCATTCAACAGTATTTACAGTTGAATAAAGGTGAATAAACAGTGAATATAAAGGTGAAGGAATCCAGGAATTCTGCTTTGTGCTATTTTTCAGCTAAGATTGTGACTATTTCAAGGCTTTGTCCATAAGTATTTGAGATAAGGGGGCCCACTTGTTATGTACTGAGTTTATGTGAAAGGGTTCCCACCACAACAATGGACTAATTCCTGGTGATTCCTTGCGATGTGGTAGCAGTGTGCTCATTGAATGCAGTAGACCAGACAGCCACTTTTCTTACTGCATAACTTTGAACGAGGCCAAGTTTTGACTTTAAGCTGTTGTGAAGAATGGGTGAGTTTTATCATTCTTTTTCCTGCTTAAAAATGGTACTGAGGTGTGAAGGACTTAACATTTAACTCAATTTGAGGGCATGTTTCTCTAGAGATAATTTCTGAAAGTTTCTCCATCAGCATTTCGGTTTGCTCCACCTGTGTTTCATCAGGTCTAAGGGCACCACTGCAAATAATGTTATTTTAAAAATCGTTAGATATATTCTAACGTTACCTAATTTTTAGGCTTTGATGACCAAGGATCCAGGGTCCCACCCCTAAAATTGTTCACTTTATGAGGGGTTGGCTCAGATTGAATAACTAGGATTTTCATTCCCAATTTTCCCTTACAGTTCTCTTGTAGTTCAGTTTAATTACTTTAATCTTCGTATCTAAACACTTTTGGACCTGCAAGAAGTTTCTATTATTGGTCTATGGCATAATTTTAGTATTTAAACCATTTTCAAATGGAGATTAATATTACCTAAGGCAGGATACCAACTTTTTCCTAATACCCCCAAAGTCTCCGAAAACTGGCTTCTTACGCACCAAACAGTAGATCCTAATTTTTACAATTAGGACATCAAAAATTCTTAATCATAAAGTGATACTTACTGACAAGTGTACCCTAGTTGTAAGAGTAAATTTAATCTCTTTTATATATAATTTCATTCTTCTTTGGGATTTAAATACCAAACTATACATATAAAATTTATCTGGATTTTTAGAAAGACTAGAGAGCAAAGTAGTGCTATTACATAAAAATAAGCAGCAAAGACAGAGATGCAGAGAAATATACAAGAGCTAAGGGATGAAGTCCGGAGGGAGATTACAGATGCCTGGAGGGAGATTACAGACATCCAGGAGGAGATAACAGAAGTGCAACAAACTCTGGAAGGGTTTATAAGCAGAATGGATAAGATGCAAGAGGCCATTGATGGAATAGAAACCAGAGAACAGGAACACATAGAAGCTGACACAAAGAGAGATAAAAGGATCTCCAGGAATGAAACAATATTAAGAGAACTGTGTGACCAATCCAAAAGGAACAATATCCATATTTTAGGGGTACCAGAAGAAGAAGAGAGAGAAAAAGGGATAGAAAGTGTCTTTGAAGAAATAATTGCTGAAAACTTCCCCAAATTGGAGGAGGAAATAATCAAACAGACCATGGAAATACACAGAACTCCCAACAGAAAGGATCCAAAGAGGACAACACCAAGACACATAATAATTAAAATGGCAAGGATCAAGGACAAGGAAAGAGTTTTAAAGGCACCTAGAGAGAAAAAGGTCACGTATAAAGGCAAACCCATCAGGCTATCATCAGAATTCTCAACAGAAACCTTAAAGGCCAGAAGAGAATGGCATGATATATTTAATGCAATGAAACAGAAGGGCCTTGAACCAAGGATACTGTATCCAGCACATTTATCATTTAAATATGAAGGAGGGATTAAACAATTCCCAGACAAGCAAAAGTTGAGAGAATTTGCCTCCCACAAACCAACTCTACAGGGTATTTTAGAGGGACTATTCTAGATGGGAGCACTCCTAAGACTAAACAGATGTCACCAGAGAAAATAAAATCACAGCAAAGAAAGCAGACCAACCAAATACTAACTAAAGGCAAAAAATAAA